TTATTAGTGATGACTAAACCATATTAATGAGTACAACACAAATAGAGAGATATAAGTTGTGATAATAAAATGCGCTCTGTTGATTAAATACATCAGACTTACCTCAATTTCTAAATTGTGGACTTTGGCCTTTGTTTGTGTTTCATCTTTTTTTAATGAACCTTTGGAATCACACCAACACCATAATCCAGGAAATGTAATTTAACTGGCCACTTAAGAATTAATCCTTCTTATTTTATGATTACAATCAGAGGTAAATATGCTACTCTTGGTAGTTTCATTTCATATGCTAATATATTTTACCAACAAAATATTTTATAACAAAAAATATGAAAAAAATACAGAAAATTTGAGAGAGATAAATCATCCAAAATTAATACTCAACAAATACTAAATAATTCCTAGTGTATTTTATTTCCTAATTTTTTTCATCTTTAGAATTTATCATTTATAGATGTTTGTAATCATTATAGAAATGCTTGGAAAGGAGACCCATTCTGAAATTTTAGAAATAAATGACTGAAGTGAACAGAGTCAAAAACTAAAATATATTATTGTATTATATTGGTTTTTCTCATTTGAAATGGAAATCTACAAAGCCCTCACATCACTGTTTTGTATTTCCAGCTGCCATTTTAAATATAGTAAATGAATAAAATTGGCACCATTACCAGGCCAAGTATATATTTATATATGGGTATTTCTTACACAATTTAGCTCAAATGGAAAAAAAATTAATTTGAATAAATATGGCATTAGTCTCTCAAATTTTCCTGAATCTAAGGGAAGAAGTTGATCTCTTTTACTATTTCATTTTTGCTTAAAATTAATTTCTGAGACTGTTGAGGTCACACAACAAATATTGTAAGTTATTATAAATTCCAATGCTGTGATGAAGGGTCTATGTTTTTAAACACAGAGGGAAAACACATTAATGCTTAAAATATATTATTATTATTTTTTTTTTAGTGAGTAAGCTTACAGGATGCCAACATAGTGGTTTCCATTGATAATTACTATAAACAATGATTAAATTTTTTCAATATTTAATACTGGGTTTTGAACCCAAATGAAAGTTTTAGAAGTGTCATGACTTACATTTAATGTTTTTCCTTTTCAAATAAACTATAAAGATATTTACACAGAACTTGAAACTATTCCTATTTCTATAATGAATTTATTGCTGACTTTCAACAATAAAACATCTTAATGTTACTCTTAACTTCTTAGTATAATCATTTGAGAAGACACATCTAGGTCAGTGGTACTTAGGTTTTTTAATGTCAGGTCACCATTTAAAAATGTTTATACCTAAAATTAATCTACCATTGCAAGGAAAAGACTAAAAATATCTTTTATTGCATACATTTGAAACATTTAATTTGTTCAATGTTTTCTTATGGTAACCAAGATCTAATTGACTATTTTTAAATTTCTAAAGCAAATGCTAAAAAATAAACATAATCAGTAACACAGAAATGAATGATAAAGTGACTTTTTTATTTTTAGAAAACATAATGTTTGAATATCTAGAAAAAGTTAGAATAGAATACCAAAGTTAGGGTAGGTAAGATATTACTCTATATTTAACTTCCAGCTTGTTAATGTCATTCTTGACATTCTGCATAGTCAGGCATATGACAGACATAATTTGACAATAAATATTTTATATCTTGTAGCTATAAATAAAATATTTATCATTTTACAAGAATCTAATATGATTCAAAACCTTGTAAAATCCACATCCCCTAGTCATTCTCTTTTTATATAAAATTTTTAATTCTGTATAAAAACATACTCATATCCATTCAATTAATTTGAATAGAAAATATTTACATGTTTATATTGTGTATTATCTTCATATAAGCTAAGGTTAGCTTGATTAATCTACTTGGGTTATTTTAACTGCTAGTGGGCATTTTATACCTATTACTACATTGCTTGGCAAACAATCAAATGTAATTGAAGCCAAGTAATTCACCCTATTTATAGACTTTTTTTCAGAATCACCTGCTTTGTATAGATTGTTTTAAGTACAGTTGTAAAGTTTCGATTTTTTAAGAGTCCCTTTGAAGAGGTGGCAGATGTTGGCCTTGGTAATAACACTGGAAAGCAGAGCAGGTTCAAAGTTGCAAAAAAATGTTCAACACATATAAAAAATAACAGTGTGCTTTTCTATTAAGTTTGGTTATTTTCAACTGTCAATAAATTATAATGGAAGAATAAAGTCCATAAATATTTGTTTCTAGATCCTTAAGCTTCTTGAGTTTGTATATGTGTGTGTTTGGGATGGGAAATGTGTGTTAATGCATGCTGGTAAGTGTTACATATGGTAGTTTTAGCATCATTACCATGGATAAAATTTGGGTTGTTTTTCAATGTTTTCTGGTGCTTAAAATCCTATTAAAATTCCACACGGTCATGCACACATACAAGATATCTGGGTATCAGATGCAAGGATACAGAATTTGGTTCCGACTTTGCACTGGATTTATGTACTGGATTTATTTACTCTGAACTATAAATACATAATTATTATAAACCGCCTAACAAAATATAAATGGTCTCTATTAGACATATGACTTTTATCTAATATAATTTAAAAATTGCAAGAGTTCAGAAATTAATTTAATCTTTGGAAATAATGAAATAATAAAACCGCGCTATAAGCAATGAGACGTGTTAATAATATATCAGAATTATAGTGATTTTCTACATCACTTTAATTTTTGCTAGGACAAGATACCCTTACAATACTATAAAATAAAAGAATTGTGAACATGAATTATGGAAGACCAAATGCAATATCATCACAGGAGAAAGATATCTTGAACTGAAATCTATCTAAAGATATAACAAATATAAATGAACTCAAATAGTGAAACTGGCAAACTAAATGTTATTTTCAATGGGTATGCATATATTTAACTGGAAACTATTGGGATACTTCCTTTTAACTAGTCAACATTTCTTTCAAAAGATCCCATCAAAGGAAATGCTCATTCTAACTCCCCAGCGATTCTATCCTTGGTGATGACTAATTGTAGTTCCCACTTAAGATGTAATCTGTCAATACTTTATGTAGCTGATGTTAACTTTTGTGTCTGTTGATTTTTCCTGCACTCTGTTAGCTTCAACATGTGAAAATAACCTTATTTTGTTATATGGTTATTTTCCACCAAAGGAAAATAGAACTATTCATATAACCAATTTTCTTAAAGTTGTTATTAAAATAATTAAGGGAAGTAGATGCTTAGATCCCACTTTCCCTGTTTCCTCCCAACGCAAATAACATGTGTCTATATGAAAGTCCTGTTTGCCCTAAGCAACTTAGGTGCAGTGGTTCAGTTCAGGAAGCATAAGGAACAACAATCTCTTGCGTAGATTTCTCATTGCAGAAAGTAAAGCGAACAGTAAGAGCTTCCGGCAACTGCAACAGTGAGCTGACAAATCTGAACTGGAATCTGTTTCCCAAAAAAAGTTCTATTGAAATCAAGTGCTGTGTCTGATCAGATCACGGCATTCTAAAATTGCTTTTCTTTATAATGAAGATGGAAGCCTCTATTATGATTAACCTCTTAACTCTGTCTTCAGAGTTTCACTTATGGCTAGTAACAACTATTAATAATTAGTGATACTACTGGTAACTTCCTTAGGTATAAACTCATCTGTGATCCAGTATTAAAAGTTTACCTCTGACCTTGGAAAGTAAAGGTTAGATTTCCCATAACTCATCCTGAAGAACAATTTGCTGCAAAGGAAAAATGAAATAATGTGGGCACTCATTGTCATTTATGGGGGATCTTACCTAAAGCATTATAAAATACAAACTTTTTCCCAGTCTTTCAAACCAATGTCTTGAATTACCTTCTAGAACTGTTAAACCAATTCCTCAAAGGGAGAAAATACGTAAATATTATATTAAACAAATGACACTTTCCAAAAAGATCGATGGCAGGTTGCCGCGCTATAGCTACTGAAGAAACCTCACAACTCGCTTCATTGTAAAACATCCATGAAGGGCTTTGAGGGTTGCCTGGAAAACTTGTTTCTCTGGATTGTGACAATTTCCTTGGCAGGCTGTGCCTTCCAGCATCCCTTTTTGCGTGGCTACTCAACTTATCCCCGGGAAGATCAGCCCCTACCGCACACCCTCGCGTACCGCGGTCTCAGGGATGCAGCAAACCAGCACAATTGGGGCTACAGTTAGTTCCCAGTACTTTCTCCGATAATTCTCCATTGGAGGAGGATATTACTTTCCACTTTAAAACTCGGATTCTCTCTTTAGATTAGTCAGTGCTACAATACAACTATTATTACGACTCGTATTTCTTCAAGAGTCTGAGCATGTATTTATTAACAATTTTCTGACACATTCCTTAAAATCTTCTGAATTCCTAGATTATATCTTTTTTCCCCAAGAAAGGGAAATGTTTACCATTTAGAAAAGGGTGCTATTTAAAGAACTCTGAAATCAGAATTTTTTTATAAAAAAAAATCTAAAACTTTTTTTTTCTTCTCATACGCTCTGCCAAGTTCCATTGCAAGTTCCAAATATTGTGCAATAATTTGGAAATCCAGTTAACGATGGGAAAAATCGAGCCACTCAGAGCCGGGAACTTACAGGGGAAAAAGTCAAGGAGCGGCACCCGCACGCATGCCCAGCGGACGCTGCATCCCAGCGTACACTCCCCTCCCCATCGCTCAGATGGAAGGTCACGCTTTGCAATCGATTTCACATACTGTCACTTGTCCGTTTTATTCTCAACCCTCTGGTAAACTAGTTTGAACCTTGGAGAGCTTAGGGCTGCTGGCCTCAGTTCTACCCTCCCAGCAACACGTGTCCCCAAATCACAGGACCAAGGCAGCCCCGCGGAATTCGGCGGCGGGGAGCCAGAGAGGGCAAGCAGGTACCATGTTCCCTGCCTCCTCACTCTGGTGAGAGCATCTTCCCTGACGTCTCCCCGCCCCTTTTGCCCAGGGTGCCTGGCGCGCCTTACCTGAGCTATCGCTTTTTCTCTTGCTGCCACTTCTCTTCTCCGCCTCCGCGGGTGACAGCGCCTGGCGGCCGTAGTCCCCCGGCGCGCACGCGGCCCCGGTCGGGGTGCTGGAGCCCAGGCTGGAAGA